ACCAGATACCCCCTTTCATTTTACTCTTCTGACACTGTATGTAAATTGATTTGTGAATCCCTTCGGTAATTTTTATGGAACTTCCATTGCTCTCTTGTAACAGAAGTTGTCTTTGGATACTGAATTACACAGAATGTTTCCTCATGTGCAGATGCCACTTTCACCTGTATGGACATGCATTTGAAGTGAACAGGAAGAGAATCATGTTTCTGACTGGTCTTTTGAAAAGCTAAACTGCCTGTTGATATATGTAACCTTACTGTAAAGTGAATAAATATTGTTTATTTCTATCTTAGATTGTGTATGACATTTAGAATTACCCTGTATGTTAACAGTAAAATTCATAAAATCGTCTTTTGCCAGTTGTTACTAGTAAGTACTGTGAAGCCCTAAGCTCAGTAGTCAAAACTGGTATTCCCTGTTAAGAATTGGGGGTTACTGCTGCTGTTAGTAGAAAACCTCAGTAGTGTTTACTGCTCTTTGCAGCTGAAGCTAGTTTTTACCGCACCTTTCTTACCAGTATTTCTCACTGGTTGTTGTCATTACTCAGAGGCATCCCATGTTTGTTGGGCCTGGTAGGCATTCTTTACAAAGTAACACATAAGTGCCTTATCGGGAGATCATATCTATCTTACTGTGACCTAACATTGGTACCTAAACCTTTGGATATATTTCAGAGACTTTCACTAAAATGTGTTGGGCAATTCGAGTTTTTATTCATATGGATAGGTAGTAAATCCAACTTTATGTAAGGCCATAAAGGAACTTTTCATTATATGATGAACTGCTTATCAACTTTTGATGAAACTCGATTTGAGAAATATGTATATAATGTTAGATGGCCATTCTACATTACATGAAGTCTAATGAAATTGTTCATGTTTTGTGTGAATATAATTATTTCATTCACAGCTTCTTACATGGATTTCTGCTTTTTTTATCATAAAGATTTCAGTGTTAGGAAAGATAAAAATAAAGAGAAAATTAATTTCTAACAATTTGGTGAATATCCTGAACACTTCGTGGACAGGTGATTTAAATATTTAAATCACCCTGGTGACCAGCGTTTTTAAACCTACTACCCTAACTTGTACACTGTTCACTTTAAAAATTAATATAAAATCTCCTAATTAATTTTATGAACTAAAATTTTTGGAGAAGACTTACCAGAGCTCCTAGAAGTGCTTCAGAGTGTGATATTTCTGGAAACATTCCCCTCTCTGAAGAGGCATGACGCAGAACTTGCAGACATAGGAAGTCTTGCTTCACTTCTTGTGCACAGTGCACACACAACACTGCCTAGAAAGATACTTCCCCGTCGATTGTTCGCTCATCACAATTTTCACGAGGTTATGTTTCTGCATATCACCCGAGAGTCGCCCAGGGGAGTCCATATGAGGCCTCCGTGGGGTGGGAGTAGATGGTCCCGGTCGTACTACGTCTGTGTCTGATGCAGGTTCTGCCGCCACCGTGAGGTCTGTAGCCCAGGCTTTTACCACATTCATGAGAAATCCCTTGTATTTCAAAGTTGAATTTTCGTTTAGCTCTTTGAAAACCAAAAATGAATTGAAAAGGGCACAATTTATAAGCCACAAGGCAACTTTCTTCATCCATTTTACTGTTTTCCTAGGAAGGGAGTAATAGGCCAAGTATTGGTCAGCTCTATCAACTCCCTTCATGAACATATTGTTCTGAGAAATACAAAGAGGCTTCTTCTTCACTTTCCCGTGTCGTCTTTGAACATCGACCATGCTCGAATTGTGAATAGTGGAAATCATATTCACAACGCCAGTATCTCTCCAGGACTGAAGAAGAATGTCCCCCTTCCTTCTGAATGTCCGATGGCATTTGTCTCACCCCTGGATATCACCAGTAAACTTTCCCAAAGTGGGTGTTTTGTCCACTTTACCCCATGTGGCTGTCCCCACAATGCTAGCACTCACACTTTCATCGGAGCTCTCACTGTCACTTTCACTTTCTCTTCTGGTCGCAATATTTTGGGGGCCCCTGTCACTGCCACTGCCACTGCCCTCGCTATCAGAAGACGAAGCAGTTGGCAAGTCAGATAACTCATCGGAGATCAAATCACAGATTTCTTCTTCTCCAAGAGCTCGTGCAGCCTTCAACTGCTTTCGTCTCTGAGCCATGTTGACACTGAGAATATCTTGCCTCACACATAGAAGCTTTGACTTGAACAAAGGGACTTTTCTTTAGAGTGAGAGGGGAATAGAGAGTGGTCACGTTGCTGACTCGGAAAACAAACATTCTGAACGTCAGCTACGCAGTACTTTTACAGACACGTGGCCACCAAAGCGAGGAATAGTGCGTTGCAACATAACGTGTCCTAAAAACCTAAATCTAGGCGACCAGTCTGCCACGTTTAAAACCCAAACGCCTAGGCCTAGGCGTCTGGTCCGCGAAGTGTTAATAAAACAAGATTGAGTGTGTACTCTATACTGTAGTGCACAGAATTCTCAGCATTGTTCCTTATGGTTCTTCAAGCTTACTTGCATCCATTTTATAGATGGCATTTCAACAAGGCACAAAATGTATTACAGAAAACAAGAAGCTTTCATATTTCAGCAGCAGAATAAAAAGTGCAATATTGTATGAGACCAAAATGTGTGAAGTAATTGTGGGATACAATTAAAAATCCATTTATGGCCATACGTAAAGTAGGCATTATAACAGTCAGTGTGGCCTTCTAACTTAATGGAAAGTTGTCTTATGTCAAATTTCATCAGAATTTGAGTAACAGTAATTTGTAGTTCTTACTGTGTAATATTAGGTTTGTCTACTGTGCTTAGGGGTTTCTAGATAATACTAATGAGAACTGGTGGTAATGGATTTCATGCTTTTATTGTAACATGTATAGAAAGCTATGACTTTAGGTGGTTATGAAGAGTTCTGTCTTCTGGGATATAACATTGTATAGTCTGTTGAAAGTTAACTGACATTTTGGAGGAACATACTGTCTCGATCTTGCCACCTGCTTTCAGGCTGGTATCTTGCTTGGCTTATTCAACCCTGAAGATGGAGGCCATATGTTCCTCTGAAACACTGGTCAACTTTCAGTGGGTTACACAGTGTTGTATCCCAGAAGATAATACTTTTCATATGTATGGAGGTTTGCTCGTGTAAGTAAGAGCAGTCCTATTTGAGTGCTGCCTAGATGCTAGAAAAATAATTAGTTACCTTATTATATTCTGTAATTTGTAAGAACTGGGAATGACAGTATTTGTTCATATCTTTTTCTATGTTTTGGGTTTGATTATTTGAGAAGAGTAATTGGTATTTTGTTGTATTATTAAATTCTAGAATCTCAGCTAATAGAAATAAATAAACACCTGCCAACTTATTCCTTTATAGTTATATACATATATAAATACAATTTCACCTTTCTGATTGTTGTTGAACTGACTGAAATTAGTGTTGGAACTACTGGTAATGATAAAATTGTCATATTGGTGTAAGGTAATTTCTGAAATCAGTATTGTACTGATAAATGTTGGTGAAACCAGCCTTGATGAAACAATAACATTTTTAATGTTTTACTCATATAGTGAGAGTAGGATTCTCTGTGTATGTCATTTAAGCAGTTGATTTGTATATGTGAACTCCATATTGTTACAACAACTCCTCAACTGCAGTGCTTTAGGTTCAGTAGAAATTTGTGTTTGGATTAGAGACGGTATGAATTTATGCTTGGATTAGGGACAGTATGGATTTCAACCACTTGAGATGTAGACAGGTAATTATAATGGTGTACTGACTTAATACTTGTATGTCATGACGGCATTTAAGAATACACAGTCCTGTATGGTTAGTTCCTTGTTTCTCATGTATTTGAAGGACGGTCATTATTAGAATGTATTCAAGTCTTGAACCCTTTGAGTTCTAAGCCCTTCCATAGAACTGTCTGGTAGAAACACCAAGGCCACCTGGGAGTTAATATAACTGCATGTAAAAACCTGGAGTATTTCCTTAATTTGCCTTTGGTTTGCAACATAAATAAATAATATAAAAGCCTGTTTTTTCCCCCACTCTGAAAATCTGTGGACAGTTGATGCTGTCTGTTGGCACAAATGTTATACCAGTTGATTAACAATGAGCTAATCTCTTCAGTGATTTCTAATACAGACATCTCTGGCTGTTGTAATTGGTACGTGGCATGCAGAGGGTTAGAGACAGTGATTTATATTGATGTAATTTGGTACCCACCTACCAGACTACACAGTGTCATAACCCAGAAGATGACAATAGGAATCTAAACTGTCATGGAAACCTGAAATCTTAAGAGATGTTCAGTATAATTTGTATCATTTGATTTTCTAAAACTGAATAGAAGACACATTAAGGAATTAAATTTTGCTTTATGCTCCATAACATTTTCTTACAGTGTGATGACTCCTGAATTGTCAGCTGCTTGTTTGACTTATAAGAAGTTAAGTTTTGTCTCGGGATGAGTAATTATTCTGACGTGTCATATTTACAAAGCACGCCATTTACTGATAACATAGTGTAATAATTTTCATGCTGTGTTTGGCGAATTTGTCGTAATACATTTATTCATTGTGATTAATAAGATGTAAGAGAAGTATAGACAATAATTAATGTTTTATTTTCAATGAAAGCAGCTATCTGTCATACTGTTTCTTGAACAAATATTGTGGCTAAAGTTATATAACTATAAATCAAGTTTCCTTGAATTTTCAACTTGAAGTACAGAGTACGAGTATGCATTTTATGCTTATCTTCTTGATGATAAATTGTATAAACATACTTTTCTGTTACATACACTTTTCAGGATCAGTTCACGAGACATGTTCATTATGCACCTGAAAACACATGTAAGAAAGTTTGAAAATACTGTGTTAACCTTCACATGTGCTTCATATGTATAGTTACCAGCATATCAAAATGGGGTATTTCTACCACATAATTTGGCTTGTTTAGTGCCAGACTGTCTGTTACACAGCTGAGACACTTATGTTTTACAGGATGTGACAAAACATGTGCCAAGGGATTATGAACATGGCCTATGTTTGTGCTGATTGGGGAAAGCGGTGTCACCTCTTCAATTGCTTTTGACTTCTACTCCCAGACCGGTTTTGTTTTCTCATAGAGATTATTCTCACCTCTTTCTGATCATCACTCAGCCACATGATGTTTTTATCTTATTTGTTGAAGATACAAAATTGCTTTAGTTGACTATAATTTATCGTTTGCATCATTCATGTCTTTTGAAGTGAGATATCTTTCTTCAAGAAAATGGGAACATTTTTCAGCAAGTTAAATTTCTGTAGCTATTGTGGTTATTATTGTTGTTACACTATTTATCAACATTATGGAAATTTAGTTGTTGAAATATATTCGTTGTAAGCTCTGAAGAGTTTGTATTCTGAGCACTGCTGTTGTTTTTGATTAGAACTGCTGTATGTATATTACGTTTAAGTGAATTGTTTACTGTAGTGCACTGTGTACTTTATGTCCGCTAACGACCATTCATTTTACAGTGCCATATTTCTTGTCATGTATTTTATCTAGTTCTGTGCACACACTGACCACTTAAAGGAAGTTAATATTTGGAAAATATATGTCATATCTCAAGTAATGATAATAGTTAGTGAATCAGGGATCTGTATTTATAATATTACTGAAGTGAAAATAATGGACGGAAGATACTGCGTATGATGCCTTCAGTTATGGGAATTGAATTTGGATAAAACAGAAGAAAGTGGTGTGTTGCTTATTCGTATTTTGTGTAATATATTATAAATAATTTAAGTGCTTAGCTAACGTATTTCAGTTTTAGAATTTAATCAGTTTGTCTACAGATTGTGTAGACCCAACATTCAGAAGAAACAATTTTTAGATTATGTTCCTGGTACAACATGGTATGGTTACCTAGTTCATGAAGACTGTGTGCATTATAATGTGGAGGGGTAAGTTTGCTTAATGACTCCTTGCTGTGTAACTGCAGTTTTACCTTACCTAAGTTAGCAAGAGATGGTATGTATCATACCTAAGATATCCTTAATTGGAGTGGACCTTAAAATGTGACCAGTGTTTGTTTTTATATATGTGTTAGTGGCTCTTGTTCAGTTTAACTAGATACGTTGACAGCTTCTATCATATGACTTTTCAATGTAGTTTTCACATGTGATCAGCCATGTTGGTGTGGTGTTGGTGTCCATGAAATGTTGGACAGTAACTCAGCATTTATATGGCCCATTGCTGAAATGACTTCCTTGTATACTGTTGCTGTGAAAGCTTAAAATCATATTAAATATTTTTGTTCGAACAGTATCATTGCTGTAGCGAATGACAGTAGATAAAAGTTGAAACTCTTCTGCATTCAATTGCTTAAACATTTGTAGATGATATGAAATGTTTAGTTCTCCACAGAAGAACGTTATAAGCTCAGAATTAAATCTGCTCTAGTTAAGATAACAATTTAAAAAAACGGTCATGAGGTTTTGTTAATATTGTTTGTACAGTTTTGAAATCTAATCATATGTTGGATTTGTAATCTTTCTTCTTTGAAGAAATTTGTTTTCGGGAAAGCAAACCATAGACAGAGTTATTGGTAATGAAACATACCCAAAGCATTACATCAATCACAATTGCAAACAAAGGCTCCAGAAATTTATGGATTATCAAGAAATTGAAAAATCTATAGGGCAAATGAAATCAAAATATTCCTCCTTATGTCAGTATTTGACCAAAACATAGTTACAAAACTGTGTATGTTTGTGTCTTCAAAACATTTGGTATGTACTTAACATTTTTCACACTGACAAGTAATTTGTTTGAGCAGGGAAATTTTGTACTAGTAAAATGCCACCGTTTACTTGAAGTCCACTCTGCTGAGAATGTGCAAAGGACAACCTGACATGCAGAAATTCTTACAGTCATGTATTAATGTTTGTGACAGTCCAAGTTCCCACTGTTTGTGTCTGTTTCGTAGCAAAAGCAACACATATTTAGGCAAACTAATGTATTTCTCCTCCCCCCCCTCACTTCTAGATTAAAATGATCTTTCCTCCTGCTTTGCTAACATTTGCCTCCCATGAATGTTTCTTCATGAAACATGCTTCAAACACAGCCATTGCCTGCTCAGTAGTAATTTTACAGTTATTTGTATATCTGGATGTTATCCATCATGCTGGTTTTATTTAAAACATGCAGCATTTTGGAGACTGGATTCTCTCTCTGTTTTCAGGTCCGGAGATAGGGACTTGGAGTTGGGCCCAACTGAGTAGATTCCACCTGAAAACAGAGACAGAATACAGTTTCCAAAACATTGTTTTTTTAACCCTTTAGCGCCGGCAGGCATTTAAATGCCTACTCAACTCCTATGCCAGAGGATATTTAAATATTTAAATCAGAGAGTGCAACATTTCACTTAAAGTGTCATAATTCGGGAGAAACTGGAGTTTTGTTTTTCAGATTTTCACACAACCTTCAGAAAAGTATATAGAATCGGAATAGTGATCCAAACTAGTGATCAAAATTATTTTTGGCACCGTAGGCTTATAAAAATTATGAACAGTAGTATTGTATTACCTTAAAAATTCAGTTTGGCGTGGTAGTTGCAAGAACACTCGATGCAGAGTCCCACGCCACACACGTCACACCGGTACACAGTTTCCTTCTTCCTCCCGTGCTTTTGACACACAACATGCTTTTTTGTGTTTAGAGTTCTTAGCCGTTGGAGGAATCTTGCTTACAAAATGTTGTTCCTTTAGATGGGGCACTGTGTTGCCTGATGGATGTCGACCCAGCACTTTATGTTCCACAGCAGTTGCCCCTTTCACAAAAAGTTCCTCACTCAAGTGAATTCTGAATGACAACTGATCTATATTTTTGCCTGTATATTATCATTGCATTCAGAATTGAGGTGTTCAATAGCCTCCGAAATAGCTTCATGTACCATTTATTCATACGCTTCCTCTCAGTCAAATAAGAGTGAAGCGGCTGGTCCTTCAGTTGACCCCTATCATTGACTTGTAGTCCAATACTGAAACTGGCGTGGCCACTTCCTTGCCTCTAATTGTAACAGTCCTGGTATCAAGACTGTGATAAGTGGAGATCATAGTCATGATTTTTTTGTTGCACCACTTTGTGACAGAAACAGGTCCAGAATGCTGTGCCACAATTTCGCCTTTTTTTATAGTTTAAGTGTTTTTCACTTTTGGTGGGACATTCTTACCGTTCAGCTTCAGAGTCCCAACACAGTTGGTCTTGTGCGTGATTTTCAGTAGCCTGGCTGGAGATGGGGGAATTATAGAAATTATCCATCCGCACAGTCCAGCCTTGTTTCAGGAGAGGTTATACCAGTTTCAGGACAATGGCTGAAGTTTTATTGGTGTATGCTGTGGTCACAGGGAAGTCGAAGTTCTGTATCCTTGCCGGTATATACAGGGAAGGACCACAAATAACCTGTGGTGGAGTCACACAACTCGTAAGTTTTAATTCCAAATTTGGATGCCTTGAGAGGGATGTACTTTTTTAAAGACAGATGGCCTTTCCAAAGTGTCAGTGATTCGTCAGCTGAAATGTCCTGGTTTAGGAGATACAGTTCCTGAAATTTGTTATTAAGATCTGAAGTTACTGGGAAAATTTTGAAAAGTTTTTCTGGTCATTCAAAAGTGCTGATGTTTTCATTGTCAGAGAAATGCAAATATTTACATATTAACTCCAAATCTCTCTCGTGTTATAATGTCTCTAAATTCCAGTGTGGAAATTACTCTTTTCATGGTAAAATATGACCGAAGAGTGGGTTTTTGTATAATGCCCATGAGCATGAACAAACCCAACACAACATAAATCTCTCCCTCTGTCACAGGTTACCATGCCCTAGCGTGTGACCTGACTGGTAGTTCATGCCCAACTAGGAACTGCTCTGCATGTCTGTTTCTGTGACTATGGTATCAATAAATTCTTTGTTGAAAAAAACTCAAAAACGTTCACAATTTCCGTGACGTGTTTCACAGGACCTTGAACTCCAACACTGCCCGTGAAATTTTCCCGCTGTCCCCTATAGTTCTCCATATTCTCCCAAATTAAGTCTTGAGTATCAGTGTCATCATCTTCATCACTGCCCTCATTTCCCATAGCATCAAACAAGGCACGATCATCTAACTCATTTTCAGTGTCAAAATCTCAATGTGACAGACTTTGTTCAGAATTGCTTTGAAGCAAACATTCCAACTCGTCCTCACTCAGCATAGCTGAATGTTTCTTGCTTGGCTAGCCATTGGTGCTACATTCAAACTGCATGATGCTGTTTATAGAACAAAGGGGAATGTACAAAGAGGCATTCATATAGGAAATTGTTTATCATATCCAACATAACAGTCATAACAAACTTCTTTTAAAGTCAACATCACATATCCTACATGTTGTAAGTTCTACTCTTGGTTAGCGTGGTTACAAATTCCATCAATCAGTGTGCACAGAGAGCGCACACTATCGATCTGGCATATTTATTTCGTAACTATTCCACAAGGTGGATATAGGTTTGTACGGTAACAGAGCGCACTACGTGGCAAGGTACAAAACTTCTTCAAAGAATTCAAATGAAATACAAATACCGTGGGAAGTTCAAAGTGGGACAACGAATATACGAAATGATAGCCAGAAACTTCCTCTTTAATTTCATACCAAAAGAATTGCTTTACATGAAAAAAACAGTTCAAAACAGGAACTGAAACTTAGCACTACACTAAGCGTACAGGGTACAGAGCCCTGCGGCATGTGACAGAAACTGCTGGCATGCAGTCACCGAGCCAGGCACTGAAGGGTTAAACAAAAACAGGATGATGAATAATGTCCAGAAACAATAATTGTATTAATATACCATCATCACAAACTTTTAGATCTTATTAATAATTTGTTTGTCTGTATAAACTCTCCTGATTATAATAACACATTCATAATTATTTGTGCAGACTGTAAAAGTCAGCTTCCAGAACTGAAGCGGCACTTGTTACATGCCAAGTATTATTTTGCAGTATTAGGGTATTGAATGTCATTGGATTATTTGCTAGGTTCATCACCTTTCTCCATCACAGCTCACAGCCATGTGGTAACCACAGTGGTGTTTGTAATTCTTGCCTTAATTGTTTGTCACTGTTGTAGAAAAGCATTTGAACATCTGTGAAGGGTGACAGTGATTTTTATCTGATTTGTATGTTATGTCAACTGTTATTCAGACTTGTACGACTTTTGCTGTTACGTAGGGGAGCTTACTGTCACAGGAGATAGTTTGGCTGTATTCAGAATGTTATCCAGAACAGAATCCAGTAGCACCTTATTTTGCAGGAATTTGTATTTGTTACAGAGGAAAAAAAAATTCTTTTAAACATCTGTGTTATGTCAGTGAAACCCCTCACTGGCAGATAAACTTTCTTTGCAGATGTAATTATGTGGCCATCCTTTAGTTTGAGAATAGAATTTCACCATAGCCAGTCAGTTAAAAGATTGTATCTTGAATGTAGGTTATGTGATCACAGTGTTTTCAGACTGGCTGCAAGTTGAGACTGCCATGTTTAGTATAGAATTTGTCTACTGGATTGGATCTGAAATTCTCATGGCAGTGACAATGAAGAATTCTGTCTTATGGGATGTACAAAAGTCAGCTGACATTCCTAAGGAACATACCACCTCCATCTTGAAGTTTCCTTTTTCTTAATGGTTTCTTTCTTAGCTTGACTTCAACCCTGAAGGTGGAGGCACTATGTTCATCTGAAGTATCAGTTGACTTTTACCATACTGCATGGCATTACATCCCAGATAGTCGAACTGTACTCTATTAGGTGATGGTGGAATCCACTGAATCATTTGCTGTTACTTTTAAAACTGTAGGTTGTATCACTGAACAGAGATGAATCATTTTGTTTTCGAAAACAGAACAGAGTAAGCAACAGCCACATCAAGTTCTGTTTCATAGTAGTGAACCATGGAATCTGACAGCATGCAAGAACTTGTTCTTGGATAGGGAACAGTGAACAGAACTGAGGCATATTTGATTTATTTCATTCTGGTCCATCACACTAACAATCACAAATACAAATCACTCCGTCCAATGTGACATATAAGTTTTATTACATGAAAACCTATCAACCCTTACATGGTTCGGTCCTTATGGGCCATCTGTTGACAATAAGTTTTTAAACAATATCTAGAAAACTTTTTTAAAAAAACTTTACAGTACCAGGAAGCTGCTGTGATTATGAAACGTTCGTTTCTATGCGTATTGTGCATTGTAGGTTATGTGTATGTAATCAAATCAAAACACCTATTGTGATAGTAGTTTCCAGCTTGTAATGATGTTCCCTCCAAAGATGGTCCATAAGGACTGAAACATGTAAGGGTTGATAGGTTTTCATGTAGTAAAACTTATATGTCACATTGGACGGAGTGATTTGTATTTGATAACTAAGGCGTTTAGGCATTTTTCAGAATTCACACATGTAAATGACAAACATATCTTGAATACGGATGTTTTTCAACACATCTATAGGAAGCTGTGGTAGCACAGTCGGTATAGCCAGCAGCTACTGGTTGGTTGAGTCCCAGTAGGGTTAAGAATTTTCTCTTCTCCAAGTTGTCCATACTGGCTCTGGGGTCCACCCAACCTATCCAATGGGTACCAAGGACTCTTTCTCTGGGGACGAAGTGGCCCAGGCGTGAAGCTGACCACTCATCTCCAACTATTGCTGAGGTCACAAAAATGTGGATCTATACATCCACGCCTACATACGCCTTCATGGCATAGTGCTTACTTAGTCAAGCACAGGGAAAACTTTACCTTTTACCTTTTTTTTACTTAAACTTGATTTTGAAATAAGTATTGATGTCTGATACCTTATGTTAGTGAAATACTGGTCTCTTAATTATATACTTGGAATTACTGCTAATTTATTGATGAATGAAGTTGTGTTATGTGTTTGGTCTTAAGGAAACATCTGCGGATACAATTTCTAGGGTATACCTTTTTGCACCCTTCTCATCCTGCACTTCTTTGATGCTTTTAAGTGCTTAATTTTTATGTAATTAAACAATTGTCTAAGATTTTGATTTCATCTTTGCAATTAATATGTGAATGGAAATTTGTGCTGAAATTCTCCTAAATTATGCCAGTTTTTAGCAGTCCTTTTTTGAGAAAACTGAATGTGCTATGCAGTTTATAACTGAACGCTGGGTATCTGCCCATTGTTTGCCAGGTCAGGTGCCGGTGACAGAGTGTTCACATTTCCTAGTCAGGAGACCTTTCTGTATGTTTATGTTATATTTGAGTGATTTCTTTTCTGTGTTTTGTCATCAAAATGAATTTTATGAGTTTAAGTAATATAAAGAAAAGTAATTTTTTACTTAAGTGAACAGAGAATTGCTTTTGATGATTAACTCATCGATGTACAAGGTGTTAACAACATTTGATCATTTGCTTTGTTATGACTGATATAAATGACCACTGACATGCATGTGAAATCAGGATATTAAGTTTGGTCTATTTTAAACTGAACTTCTGTTCCCCCCCCCCAATTTATGTTTATTTAGATTTTTGTTACTGGCATCAATAACTTGAATCTGTAATGTGTTATATGTAATTTCTGGAATACAGAATATAGGTGTTATGAAGATTGATCATGTTGACATAGAGGTTTAACTGAAGTTGAAGTACGCGTAATATTTAACAAAATGCAGGTCTTCTTCCTGCGGTGGCATGCAAGTCAATTTTTGCTGTTTGTTTCTTTTAGTGACTCATCATTCATTGTTTACAGTAGTAGTATATCACATGGAGTTGAGTTAGGTTAGAGGATTGTGCTGTCTATCTTCCATTGTTAAATGTGTGAAGCCTCTGATTCTGTAGCCATATTTAAAGTGTCTTGCTTTAGGCAAGCTATTACTGCATAAAGTATGAAAACTTTATATTTGTTATGTGTAAGAAAGATTACTAAATCTGTGAAAATGAAAAGGGAAATTTTTACCTTCCATTGGTAGTATGGTTAGACATGTTTGTGTGTGGTGGAGTTGACTATATAATTTACTTGTATGTAAAGGTCTAAACCGTAATTTAAAGAATGTAATGAATAGGATATCTTAGAATTAATATCAAGATCAGGCTGCTGCATTATCTTTTGTCTCTGCAATGCAGATCAAGGCATCTAAATAGGATCACCATTCCATTCCATTGATTTGGGGTTGCCATGACGGTGGTGACCATAAAGAGCACAGGTTATAACACCATGTAGTTCAGAGAGAGCCCAGTGTTTTGGTGGAACATGTCACTTCCACTTTCAGGGTCAAAGCGTTAAGCCAAGCAAGAAACCAGGAGAAGCAGTGGATTCATTTATGGAATGGATAAGTTATATCTAAAAATAATATTAGTATGCAAATGCAATCATTCATGTCAGTTGCATTTTCCCAGAAAACAGATATTGCTGTTGTACGAAGGGGGACCCAAAAATAACCAGAAACGACCTGTTGCGCATGCATGCTTTGTAGTTACGAGTTGTGCTGCTAGGTGGTGTTAGCTGAGGGTCTCCCGCGACTGTTAGTGAGCTGGCGTCAGTC